TGTCGGGATTTCGAGCCCACACACACAGACACAAATACACACACACACACGCGCACACACACCTGGCATGTTTCTCAAGCTGCTGGGGCCAGGATTTGAACCATACTTGACCATGTGGAATCCAGTTCTCTTAACCACTAGGCCATGAGGCTAACACCATTATATACATCTGTTTGATTTTTTTCTTGGGGAGGCGGTCAAAAATTATTTTTCTTTATACACAATAGTGCATACCTGCATGCATGTGTGAAAGTTCAGAGAGAGAGAGAGAAAGAGGAGATTCTCCCGTAGGGTCTGGTCACATCGCAATCCCCTTCCTCTGATCCTCCAGCCTACTGGAGCCTGAGTACTCATAAATGTGCCCCGTGCGTTTCAGGCTGACTAGTCTGAGCGTTTGAACTGGGGTCACCACATGGGATCTGACTTCTCTTGAACAGTCAAGTAGAATTTGGATTTTTAGTAGGAAGAAAATCAATTCCTTTTAAAAAAATAATAATTTATTTTGTAGTTATCACTATCATTATTCTTCAGTTTGCTACAGGGCATGTGTGCTACCTGAGACAAAAGGAGAGAGACAGAGAGAGGGAACGTTATTTGATTATTTTCTTATTTTAAATTTAATTTTTTAGTTTGCTGTAGGGCATATGAACTTGCCAGAGAGGTGGGGAGGGAGGAGAGAGAGAGGGAAAGTGAGAAAGCACCCCCACCCCTACAAAGGGGGATGACCATGCCACAATCCCTTTTCCTCTTGGGATTTTAGGCATGCATGCACATGCGCCTGGCATGTCCTTTAGGCCAGTGGGTCTGGGACTCAAACTTTACTTGCCATCAGCCGTGTGGGATCCAGTCACTTTAACCAGCATGCTACCTGGCTGGCCCAGCTGTAAAGCTTAGTTTTTCAGCTGTAAAGCTTAGTTTTTCAGCAGGATAAAGCTTTATATTCGATAGTTAAGTTACACAGCTGCATACGCATATCAAAATAAGGAATTAAAGAACTGTCTTTGATAATTTAGGAGAAAGACTTACGATAATCCTTTGAAATGTGCACCCTACTGGAACATAGGCTCTAGATTCTATATGAGCAAAGGTTTTTGTCTTTTTGCAGAACAGTGAGTAGGACATAACTAGTGTTCAATATTTATTGCATGGTTGATGTTCTCTCTCTCTCTTTTTTGAGAGTTTTTTTTTTTTTTTTGCTATAGGACAAGTACACTTGCCAGAGAGATAGAGAGAGACAAAGAGACAGAAAGTGAGAAATCAACCCCAGAGGGGATGGCCATGCTGTAATCCCTTCTCTTTCATTCTCCTCTTGTTATTTTGGGCACACACACACACACACACACCTAGCATGAGCTTTAAGCCACTGGGTCCAGGACTCTAGCCAGGGTTGACCATATGGGAGTCCAGTGACATTACCATTATGCCATCTGCTGGTCCCCTCTTTCTTATGTATTTATTTATTATTGTTTGAGAGAAGAGACTGCTATATAAGAACTTATGACCACGGGAACCAGCAGTTAGCGTAATGGCTATGTCGCTGGACTCCCACATAGTTGACCGCAGTTCACATCCCGGACCCGGTGGCTTAAAACTCACGCCAGGCGCGTGTGCGTGCGTGCCCAAGATCCCAAGAGGAGAATGGAGGAGAAAGGATTGCAGCGTGACAATCCCCTCTGGGCGGTGATTTCTCGCTTTCTGTCTCTATGTCTCTCTGTCTGTCTGGAGAGTGCACACACCCTATAGCAAAAACCTCTCCAAAAAAAAAAGAACTTATGACCATTAAGTTGTCAGGGCCAGCAGGTGGTGTGGTGGTTATAGGTGCTGGACTCCCATATGGCCAACTGTGGTTCAAGTCCCAAACCTGGCAGCTTGCTCTCTCACTTTCCCTTTCTCTCTCTGTCTCTTTGGTCAAATTTTAAAAAATAATAATAACAAATGAAATTAAATAAATTTTTTCTAGAGAGAGATTTTTGCTATGGGCATGTATGCTCACTGGAGAGACAGACAGTGAGAAATCACCCCCTAGGGTGCCACAATCCCTTCTCCTCCATTCTCTTCTCAGGATCTTAGGCATGCATGCACACATGCCCTGCGTGAGTTTGACGCTGCTGGGTCTGGGACTCAAACCGCAATCAACTCTGTGAGAGTCCAATGATGCATCCCTTAAATCCCAAGACTGATTGTCTTAATTGTATCTTCACTCTGTCACTTAAGAGGTCTCTGTCCCTTCGTTTTCTCTTCTGCAAAATGGGTATTTTAGGGTTAATGTGAGAATTAAACTATTTCATAGGCTTAAACCATTTAGAATAGAATCTAGTATGTTAATAGATAAAATAAATACCTTTAACTAGGTAATAAGTGTTAGACAGTATTTTGTATGTATGGGGAATTCTCTTTTTTATATGTGATCATAACCTAAGAAAATACCCTGTGAAGTTAGCAATAAAGGAAAATATTGTCTTTGCTTTTTAGGAAGGAAAATTGAGACACAGGAATCGAATGACCTGTAAATGTGACAGCCAAGGAAATGTGTATCCCATTGAAATATTCAAATGAGGACAATATTTTGCTTTTTTCTGGATTTCTTTATGAATTGGCTTTTTAAAAAAACAATTTGTATTTTACTTACAAATCAATTTCATAAACAAACTGTAATAAACATGACCAGACAGCAAAGAAAGTTCTTGACTATCTTTTATGGGCAACAAATAAATTATTTCAATAGTTATAAAATCTTTCTCTTGCTTTCACAGAAATTAATGTATTGCATACAAATATTTTCACTGCCTTTAATGAACATATTTAAGAGTAGGGAGTATTCAGCCCTTTCCCTCCTCCACCACTGCTGCCTCCTTCTGCCGCTCCTGGTGCTGCCTGTGTGCTCCTTGGTGAGGACCTGGTACCTCTTTTGTGAAGCGGCAGCTGAGGAGACTCCAGCGCTCACCATGGCCTACAAAAAGCCTAAGGACGAAGTCGAGACTGAGAACAACGTTCATATTAATTTGGAGGTGGCGGGGCAGGATGGCTTTGGGGTGCAGTGTAAGATTAAGAGGCACACACCACTTAGTAAACTAATGAAAGCCTATTGTGAACGACAGGGTTTGTCAATGAGGCAGATCGTGTTCCGATTTGATGGCCAGCCGATCAAGGAAACAGACACACCTGCACAGTTGGAAATGGAGGATGAAGATACAATGGATGTGTTTCAACAGCAGACAGGTGTCTACTAGAAAGGGAACCTGCTACTTTACTCCAGAACTCTGTTCTGACAGACCAAGAACACGTTCTCAATTAGAAAACCACAATTTGGTTTCAGCACATCCTGACTATTACAGTATAGTATATTCTTTTGTTTTCCCTTCCCCATTCCTGTATTATACATAAAGTAACTGGTGTATGTGCACAAGCATATTGCTTTTTTTTTTTTTAACTAAATGGCCAGTGGTATGTTTTGATTGACATCAAATGGAGATGTGATGGGGGAGATGGTTCTGTGAAAAATACTCATTGAGCTCTTATCTTTATATTTCAGTAAGTTATTTTGCTCTCACTGTTTTAACAAAAAGAAAAAGAAAAAAAAATACCCAACAACATAAAAATCCTGCATACCTTGTTTGATTGGAGAATTTTAATGTTTTTCATTTATTATTGTAAAAGGCGAAAGATGTATATAATCTGAAGAGAAACCAGAGTAAAACCAAGGGCAATTTTACAACTTTTTTGTATGTAGCTGTTACATATAGGGCAATCTGTTTTTAAGTAGGGGTAAATTACTCTTAAAGAAAAAAAGGAATCCTAGATAGTTTTCCATTCAAGTCAAGAGTCTTGTTGTTTAAATAAATTTCTCATTTAAAAAAAATAAAATGAGTAGAGAGTGTTCTACTTTTACATAGAATTTGGCTTTTTAAATTTTTTATTTAATCAGTGTTTTGCCAACTGTGACCCTAGGTTGGGCCCCTACATTCTATATGTGCATACATTAAAAATGCACTAATTTGCCAAAATGGAAAGTCTATCCTTTGGATATTATTTTGACTTTTGAATATACAAATTTAAAGTCTCTGTTAGTCACTGGGTTTTTATTTATTATTTATTCGTTTTGCCATAGGGTATTTGTGCTTGCCAAAGAAGGAGGGAGCAAGAGAGGTGGAGGGGGATAAAAGAAAGAGAGAGAAAGAGAGAAATCACCCCCAGGGAAGATGGCCACACTACAATCTTCTCTCCCCTCCATTCTCCTCTATAGATTTCGTGGACATAGGCCTAGTGATTCGAGTTGACAGTTCAGGACTCCAGCCACCAGTGGGTCAAGGGGAATCCAGTCTCCCTAACCACCACGCAGCGGCTGGCCCCTTAGTCATTATCTCCCTTAATAGAAGTTGAAAGTACAGCAATAAGCATGCAGAATCACCTAATGATGATGGAAAAGAGGTCCTCCCTTTACATCAGAAACCGCTGGTTTAGGAGCACCAATATATAAAGAAATTCTTGTAACTTTACATATAATATATTGTAAATCTTGACTTTGTTTTTTAAGAACTATCTGTTTTATTTATTATCATTATTATTTTTAATTTGACCAGAGAGAGACACACAAAATAAGAAAGCAAGTCGCCAGGTCCAGGACTCTGACTGGGGTTGGCCATGTGGGAGTCCAGCATCTCAACCACTGCACCATTTGCTGGCCCCAAATCTTGACCTTTTAATCAGACGTAGAGAATCTCTCTTAAGAGCCTGAAACTTGGGACCGGCAGATGATGTGGTGGGTAAGGTGTTGTACATTCCCACATGGCTGACCATGGTTCAAGTCCTGGACCTGGTGGCTTGCTTTTGCACTTTCTGTATCTGTTCCTGGTCAAATTAAAATAAATGAATAAATAAATAAAAATAATACAAATTCTTTTTTTTTTTTTTCCTTTTTCCTTTTTTTTTTTTTTTTTTTTACAGAGCAGACCAAGGCACCTCTTCCGTTTCAGGGCCACCTGCCACAGGATAAACTACAACTCCCAGGATTCCGTGGTGAGCGCTGCTGGGAGTTGTGTATCACTCCCCTCCTCCCACCATCGCAACGCACGCCCTGGACTCCCGGTCCTGGTAAGTACTGCATGCCAGTCCCGGGAGGATTTCTTTGTCGTTTGTCGTTTCGTCGTTTTTCTCATGTAGGTCATTTTTACCACTTTTAGCTCACTGTTATGCACGCCCAAGGACTTCTTCTCGAGACAGAGGAGGAGCCGAGAGCAAATGTTAACCCGGAAGGGATTACCCAGGAAATGAAAATGATCCCGGGTTTGTAGGCTGCAATGTTAGAAGGTCTCCGAAGGTTCCGACCTGGCGCGAGGTTTTCTTCTTTTTCCTAGGTACTGACAGTTCTTTCCTAACTTTAAAAGGACATCCCCCCCCCCCAGTTTTATTTCCTATTTGCCCCGTTTTGTAATTGCTCTACGTACTGAGTTACAGGGTGTAGTCTGCACGTGCTCCTCCCCCGTGCGCTGTCACTCGTGACCTGCAGACACGGAGATTCGTTCCCAAAGTATACAGTACTACTGTTCCCACGGCGGGTGATGGAGAAAGCTTGTTTTCGATTATAGCTAACCCTGGAGAGCAAACGTTCTGGGTTTTCTGGGGTTCTGTTTTTGTTTTTTGTTTTCCCTTCCTTAACATTGAGATTCGTGACCTTAAGAGTTACTCCTTCTACTACTGATACGAATTGTTCTAACAAAAATCTGTTGTCCTTTTACTTTGTCCATTGGCAAATGGACACACCTCCCAAGTGCTTAAAACTACACACGGAGATTTGTGTAATAGTTGGGGCTGGTGTTCCATCGGTGTAGTCTTCCACAGTTATTTTCCAACTGTGATTCGCTAAGTTAAAAAATCTGTTGGTTAAATCATGCACTTGCAATATGTTAGAGATCGTTTTGAATATTTTATTTCCTGGGCTGTAATGGTAAGTTATCAAACCTGTGTATAGTGATCAAATAAGCTAACATATGAACTGTACCTCCTAGCAGAAGAAGGAACGATGGAGGCAGAAAAGGTTGATTTTGACAAACTGATCCTTATATCAACTTTGAACCACAGAACTTTATGGGCAAATTGTTTTTTTTAAGACACTTTCTGTTTCCCCTTTCTTAAAACTTTTGTGTACTGGGGCCAGCAGGTGGCATAGTGGCTAAGGCGCTGGACTCCCACATGGTCTAGTCCAGGACCTGTGGCTTGAGACTCAGGCTGGGTGGATGTACACGCATACCCAAATTCCCAAGAGGAGAATGGAAGAGAAGGGATTCCAGCATGGCCATCCTCCTAGTGATTTCTTGGAGCTACTTCCAGCTTTATTATGCCATATATCTTTAGAGTTTTTTTTTCCCCGATTGTATTTATTATATTTCAGATGCTGAGATGAATCGTCACCTGTATGTTTGGCTTGTTAGACTTCAGTCATTTAATGGTTCCCTAAAGTACCACATCCACTTTCATTCTCATCGATTTAGACAGATACACCTTGATTCAAGGCTGTGGGTTTTTAGACAAAACAAGAATCACGTTTTCCATTGTCTGCTAAGTGAGGATTGGTCCAGGAGGCTTTGTCATCAATACGCCAAGATGCTCTGGAAGAATAAAGCATTACAGAAATACATGGAGGACCTGAATAAGGAATACCAAACTCTTGATCAACGTTTGCAGAATATCTCTGTGAATGAAGGAGACCAAAGGACCTTGAACCAAAGACATGCAGAGTTAGCACCACTTGTAGCTATTTACCAAGAAATTCAGAGAGCAGAAGAAGCAATTGAAGAATTAGAGTCATTGTGTAAAAGTAAGTAAAAGATACGTGTATGTTTAAGGACAGGTTGATTTTCTTTTTTTAAAGAGTTATTTATTATTATTATTGTTTTTAATTTGCTATAGGGCATATGCACTCACCAGAGAGGAACAGAGAGAGAGAGAGATAAAGAAAGTGAGAAAGCTCACCAGCTCCAGGACTCAAACTGCAGTCAGCCATGTGGGAGTCTAGCACCTTAACCACTATGCAACCCACTCTCCCCAGACTGATTTCTAATGTAAAGCTTTATTTATTTCTAGTTTATTTCTTATGAGCAAGAGTGACAGAGAGACAGGCATCCCTAACAGGATCTCCACATCATGATCCAATGATCCATCCTCAGCCTTCGCTGATAGAGAACCCCTCGATATGCACGGTCACGCTGCAATCCTTTTTCCTCCATTTCTCAATCGGAATTTTGGGCACATGTGCACACACACATACGCATACACACGCTCAACAAGTTTTTCCAGCCAGTAGTGCCAGGATTTGAACCATAGCTGGCCATGTGGGATCCAGCTCTCCATACATAGCATTTTACATCTTTGCTTATGGGGCTGGCCTAAAAATCTTTTTTCTTTTTTCTCTTCAATTTTTGCTAGAGAGTTTGTGTGCTTGCTGAAGAAAGTGAGAGAAAGAGAAAGTGAGAAATCACTCCCAGTGGGAGGTGGTTACATTTTCCCTTTTGGAATTTTGGGCATTCACACATGCCTGGTATGTTTTCGAGACCACTAGGCCTGGGACTCAGACTGCACAGCCAACCACGGGCTGATGTGTGATCCAACTGCCTTGACCACTACACCACTGACTGATCAGGCCAACAATCTTAATCATTATTCACATGCTCAAACTTTTTGGTAGCTCCCAATACCTATAAATAGAGATTTCTTGGTTTGCCATTTAAAAGCCTTTGCAGGGGGCCAGCAGGTAGCATAGTGGTTAAGGTACTGGACTCAGACAAGGACATGTGATTTCAATCCTGGACCTGGCCACTGGAAACTCAAACTGAACTGTGTGTTCATGCATGCCCAAAATTCCAGGAGGAGAATGGAGGACAAAGGATTGCAGTGTGTCCATCCCCTCCTGAGGGTGATTTCTCGCTTTCTGTCTCTCCAGTTATTGCATGCACCCTATACCAAAAATCTCTCTCAAAAAATAAATAAATAACTAAAAGCCTTTACAGACTGACCTAGCTTCTCTGTATGGTATATTAATTCCCCTTGCATATTCTGCCTTCCATCCAAAATAGATAACTTGCTATATATCCATGCCAACCCGTCTGCATGTATTAGCTCAGCTCCCTTTTTTTTTTTTTTTTTGAGAGATGTTTGCAATAGGGCACATGTGCTCACCAGAGAGACAGAAAGTGAGAAATCACCCACCCTGGGGGGGAGATGACCATGCCACAATCCCTTCTCCTCTGTTCTCTTCTTGGGGTTTTTGGCATGCATGCATACGCACCTGGCCTGAGTTTTGGTTGTTGTTGTTTTTTTTTGTTTTTTTTTTTTAACTTTATTTATTTTCATTTTTGACCAGAGAGGACATAGTGAGAGCAAAACTGAGAAAGAGAAAGTGCGAAAGCAAGCTGCCAGGTCTGGGACTCGAACCACAGTCAGTCTTGTGGGAGTCCAGCACCCTTAACTACCATGCCACCTGCTGCCCCACACCCCACCCCTGCATGAATTTTAAGTGACTGGGTCCTGGACTTGAACTGTGGTCGACTATGTGGGAGTCCAGCAATGTAACCATTACACCATCTGCTGGTCCCTTAGCTCACATTTTTTTTTTGGAGAGGTTTTTTCGCTATAGGGCATGTGCGCTTGCCAGACAGACAGAAAGAGACAGAGAGACAGAAAGCGAGAAATCACCCCACAGGGGGTATGGTCACGCCGCAATCCCTTCTCCTCCAGTCTCCTCTCGGGATCTTGGGCACGCATACACACACGCCCAGTGTGAGTTTTAAGCCACCGGGTCTGGGACACGAACCGCGGTCGACTATGTGGGAGTCCAGTGACATAGCCATTACGCTAACTGCTGGTTCCCTTAGCTCACATTTTTAACCCACCAGTTTTACCTTATTAAAAGTCAGTCCCTGAGGCCAACAGGTGGTTAAGGGTGCTGGACTCCCGCATAGTCGACTGTGGTTTGAGTCCTGGAACTGGTGGCTTGCTTTCTCACTTTCTGTCTCTTTCTTGCATGCTCTGTCCCTCTCTGGTCAAAATAAAATAAAATAAATAAGTAAATAAAGGTAAATTAAGTAATTATTTTTTTAAAAAATCAATTCTCTTGGGACCAGCAGATGGTGTAATGGTTATGTTGCTGGCCTCCCACATAGTTGACTGTGGTCCAAGTCCCAGATCAGGTGGCATAATACTCAAGCCAGGTGTGCGTGCACGCCCAAAGTCCTGAGAGGAGAATGGAGTAGAAGGGATTGCGGATTGGCTACCACACAAGCCCTATAGCACCTCTCTTCAAAAGAAAAAAAAAGTCCTCTTAACAAAGTTTGACGGGCATCATACTTCTGCTTCAGTCCCCTTTATAAAATGGTATGGTACCTTTCTCGGTTTGGTAATTTTTAAAAAAATTGTATTTATTTATTTCTGAAACATTTTTAAAAAATTAATTTACATTCATTCTGATTGGTAATCTTAACCCCTTACCTCATTGTCTGTTTCTCAAGGAAAAATCTTGTGTCTTACTCATTTTTATATTTCCTGCAGCACCAAACATAGGCTATAACAGGTTTTCATGTCTTTCTTGATATAGTGAAATTAAATTAGAGTAGAATTTACACTTCTGCAGCGCAGATAATAAGAGGCCACAAAAATAACTTTATATGATTACAAACCAGGGTTTTTTGTTTTCGGTTTTTGATGCCTTTGAACCAACAGATATCTATTGAGTGGTGTCAGTCTGGTTTCCATTTGTGACACGTATGCACAATGTGCTACAGTGGTGCTATTACAGTTCTGGAACTCGTGATATGTATGTAGTTAGAATTAGTTCCCATGGTGCCTTAGCCAGAAGCCCTCCTTAAGTACTGATGTCTGAGTTAAGTCCCCAGTTACGGCATACTGACGCTCCCTGTAACACATTCTAATCTTACGTATACGTGATGATCTTTCCCACCAGCCTGAGGCCTTTGAGAACTGAAACCCTGTTTTATTCATCCTTATGTCTCCGGCAAGACCCTAATGACATATGTGACTACAAAGACTTTGTTTTCTTTGTAACTATGGTTGACCATTCTGTTTTCTTCTTTGTAATGATTAAGAATCAAACATTTCTACTTCAGTTTGCAGCATCACCTTTGAAAAATGAAATCTGGACATCTCAAACAGTGGAGTCAAAGTCATAGGATCTACCTCCGTGGCTTGTTTTGCTAGCATTTCATGATTTAATGTTCTGATTTTGAAATACTATGAAAAAGGACCATTGCTTCTCTAAAGCTGAGGTTTTACTTGACCCATAGAATTTATTTTTAATGTGTTAGGATGAACATATCAAGAGATTTCACAAGTCCTTATTTCTGTGTGCTGGGTTACAGATGCCACCTTTGGACAGGAAGTGCTTGTCCCACTTTGCTCTAAAACCTTCTTTATTTGGGTTTATATTTAACTAGCTAGTCCCTTTTTAAACCTTTTTGATTAAGCACTGATTTGTATATTATAAACCTTCAAATCTCAAGCTTTGAGGGCAGGATCTTACTGCTTTTCATGTTGAATGTCTTTTTTTTTTGGAGAAGTTTTTGCTATAGGGCATGTGCGCTCGCCAGACAGACAGAGAGAGACAGAGAGACAGAAAGTGAGAAATCACCCCTCAGGGGGGATGGCCATGCCATAATCCCTTCTCCTCCATTCTCCTCTCAGGGTCTTGGGCACACATGCACACACACCTGGCGTGAGTTTTAAGCCATAAGGTCCGGGACGCAAACCGCAGTCGACTAAATGGGAGTCCAGCGGCATAGCCCATTACACTAACTGCTGGTCCCTTGAATGTCTTTCTTTAGGGACACGTTAGTAAATACATAATTGACATTCTAAGTGCTGTATTTTTTTTTATATAATTCCTTACTTAACAACTGAAATAGAACAGTAGGCAAAGATAAGGTGAACATTTAAGAATTTCTCTGCGAGTACTTAAAAACTTTACCATTATTTCTCTTGCTGGTTTTTAGGTTTAAATAAACAAGATGATAAACAGTTACAGGAACTTGCATTGGAAGAAAAGCAAACCATTGATCAAAAAATCAACATGTTGTGCAGTGAGGTATGTTGTATGAAGTAGACTGATCTTTAATAGTGCTATGTGAAAGAGTGCTGTTCTAGCACAGACTGATGGCACAGCCAGTAGCAAACTGAACTACACTTTGGAAACCTCATGGCCAATCAAGAATTCAGATTCCTAGGTTGACTTGAAAGCACACTGGTTGTGTTTGTACGTGCTCAGGATCCTGATGAGTTAGGGAAAGGTATTTTGATATGTCTGTAGAACTTTCAAAGTGATTTTCTCTTTCTCTTTTTCTCTCTCTCATGTACTATCTATCATAAATAAAATAAATAAACTTTAAGGAAAAAAGTGAAGAGCTAACCCACAGAATGGGAGAAAAATTTTTTAAAAAATTCTTGAAAGACAGTCCTTGTTGCTCAAAATACTTTCTAAACACTAGTTTATTATTTTCTTACAATAAGTGATTAAACTGGATTTAGTGCTATAATTTGAAGTAAAATGAGAGTGAAGGAATTGTGATGTCGAAGAATGAAACAAAGATCTCCCCATGGTAAAAAAGTCAAAGCTGTCTATTAACTTGCCAGACAGGAGAACACATACTTTTAAAGAAATTTAGTTCACCAAGGGGGAGAATCAGAGGTTTTAAAATATTAGAAGTGGGGGAAGGAGGGAGGCGGTTCATGGTAATTTTGTTAATTAAAGGTTGAAAATTTAAACTTGGAATAGAAGGAGGTGAATCCAAGGGTGTAGAGGTTAGTTAAGGTCTAGTAAGGGTCTGGCATACTAGGGGGTCTCAAGGTTGGTAGGCTTTATCAGCATCAGCTGATATTTCCTAGACCTGTAAGTGGAAATTTTTCCTTTAATAGTAGTCTCTTTTCTTTCTACCTCAGTGGATGGTTTGCCTACAAACACAATGAGGACATAGTATCATATACCATGTTTCTCTCTGTCATATTTGCCATCCTCTTACTTTTAGTCTTCCTTTCTCTGGGAACCCAAGAAAAGGGTTTTTTGAGAGGTTGGAGAATGAAGTATAAGTAGCTGTTATTTTTAATCACTGATGTAACAAGTTAAAGAAAGAAGTAAGATGGCTGACCTTTTCCACAGACTATATCATTTCTAGCAGAGATGAACTATTCCAGAATGTGGCAGTAGGTAGAGTAAGTCACAACACTTAGGTACTTTTAGTTTGATTTGAAAAACCTTTCAGTAATAATGAAATCACTTCCTTTTTCTTCCTAAGATGAAAGTTGGCTATGTTTTCTGTTTAGAAATTTTTTTTTTTTCTTGTCATAGCCAAGAAACACTTTGAGCCTTATCTTTGGAGTCATCAAAATAGCCTTTAAACAGAGTCACTGTATGGAAAAAGCAAGGCATGGCATTATGTCCACTGGTATTTGTGGCAAATGAGAATACCCAGTCATGTGTGAAAGTCTGTATTTTTCCAAATGAAGATTTTCAAAGTCTTGCTTCATTCATTAGATGAAAGAAACTACTGTTCAGAACTAATTATAAGAGGCATAATCTGTAGAAAATTGAATGGAACACTTTGGACTTTGATCTAAACTTTTGAGTTAAAAAAAATTAAGATAATTTGATACCACTGCAAAAAATACCCCAACAAGTAACTTCGTTATTATCATGAACTGGGCACTTACTTTATGTCTAATTAGAACTACTTATTATAGCACTTTCAAGCTAACTTAATATAGATACTATGTAATTTTTAAAATTATATTAAAAAAATTTTTTAATGTTTTGGGGACTTTACGTTCAAGTGATTATAGTAAACCAGGGAAAATATACACACCATTGCTGATTTGCTTTTCTTTTCTAGCTTTTCCAAAGTCTAGTGCCAAAGGAAAAATATGACAAAAATGATGTTATTTTAGAGGTGACATCTGGAAGGACTACTGGAGGTTAGTATAATACTTTCATTGAAAATGATCTTAAAAAATACTTGAATTTTACCTTGATTCGACATCACCATAACTTTAAAAATCCTCTAAATGTACTTAGTTTTGAAATAGTTACTTTTCATTTTCTAAGAGGCTTCTACCTAAAGATAGCTCTCCTAGAAATTTGTGCTGATTGGAAGCCAGCAGATGGCGTGGTGGTTAAGGGACTGGCTGGGCATTCCCATATGGCCAGTCACAGTTCGAGTCCTAGACCTGGTGACTTGCTTTCTCACTTTCCCTCTCTCTATATGTCTCTTTCTGGTCAAATTAAAATAAACAAAGAAATGAATAAAATTGAATATTCTTTTTGAATTTGCACTGATTAAATATATTTTGTATTTTTTTTAGGTGATATCTGCCAACAATTTACACGAGAAATATTTGACATGTACCAGAATTATTCATGCTATAAACACTGGACATTTCAGATTCTGAACTATACACCAGCAGATTATGGTAGGCATGTTTGATGTATTGTTCATAGAAAATGCAGAAAATTGGGAACCAGCAGTTAGCGTAATGGCTATGTCGCTGGACTCCCACATAGTCGACCGCAGTTCGCGTCCCAGACCCGGTGGCTTAAAACTCACGCCGGGCACGTGTGCGTGCATGCCCAAGATCGCGAGAGGAGAATGGAGGAGAAGGGATTGCGGCGTGGCCATCCCCCCTGGTGGGTGATTTCTCGCTTTCTGTCTCTCTGTCTCTCTCTATCTGTTTGGCGAGCGCACGCGCCCTATAGCAAAAACCTCTCCAAAAAAGAAAAAAAAAAATGCAGAAAATTATTTTTACCTCTGATCTTGATTAGAACCATACTGTCCTGTTTTAAAAAATATTTGATATGGTCCAGTTCCATGGTCCAGTAGTTAAGGGAGTCAGATCTCACATTGCCAATTGTGGTTTGAATCCCAACCCTAACATATATGCCTGTGTGCTCAAAATCCCAACAGGATGGACAAACAGGAGAAGGGGTTATGGCATGATCACATCCCACTGGGGAATGTCCCATCCCCTTCCCCCCTCATCTCTCTCTGCACCCTTTGACAATTAAAAAAAAAAAAAGACTTAAAAACAATTTGATCTGTACATACTAAACACTGAGATATAGACTCATCAATCACAGTGGCTTACTGTGGTAGAGTTCTTAGCTAAAGTAAGAGAGTGGGAAGTAGGTATTCTCTTAGAAAAGAATATGTAAATTAGAGAAACCCCTGTGGAGGATAGGTATCTACCCTGCCTTGAAAGTCATTGCTCTCTGTTATTAAAAGCAAAGGTATATAAAGGCTTTTACTCTAAAAGAACTTTATTATCAATGTGATACAATCAACATTATCAATTAAACTGTATGGGTAATGATGTATTAGATTTTTATGGGAGTGCAGAAAAGGTTAACCATTTCTCTTTATTTTAAAGAAATTTTCACTCTAATTGAGCTGATAAAAATTATACAACCTAGACAGGTACAGTGGCTTGTGCCTGTGGTCCCAACTAGTTGGGAGACGGAAGCAGGAGGATCAAGAGTTTGATGCCAGCCTGGCCAACATAGTGAGATTCTGTTTCTCAAGAAAGAAAAAAATTATGGAACATAACAATAACAAACAATGCAAGTCTGTAAACTTTATTTAATGTCATTAATACTATAATAAATTATAAACTGTTGAAATGGGATAATGTAAATTGATCAGTGAGGGACATGAAATCCAGTCTACAGCATAAGTAATTGTACTTGGTATAGATTTCAAGTAAAATCAGTGGTTGGGAAAAGGGAACATTGGTGAGAGCAGAGGGAAGGAGCTGCCTGAGTAACAGTCTGGTGATGGGAAAGACCTTGGTTTGTGAATAGGACATTGAGGAGCCCAGTTTACCCACAGCATATTTACGCTGGGAAGTAATAGCTGAAATAGGTTTAAGTAGGTAGATTTTGAATAGTCTTGAAAGTTGAACAAGCATTGACTGATAGGCAGTCTGCAATTGTAATATTGACATAATAGCTATTGAAGAGTTTAGTATTAAAAATGTGACTTGATTAGACATATATTTTAAGATTATTATTTTGACAACAGTGCGGAAGATAGATTGAAGAGACTAGATGTAAGACAGACTTGGGACCAGCAGTTGGCATAATGGCTATGTTGCTGGACTCCCATGTAGTAAACCACGGTTCATGTCCTGGACCCGGTGGCTTAAACTCAAGCTGGGTTCGTGTGCATGCATGCCCAAGATCCTGAGAGGAGAATGGAGGAGAAGCGATGGCGGCATGGCCTTCCCCCCAGTAATTTCTCACTTTCTGTCTCTCTGTCTCTCTCTGTCTTTCTGGCCTGCGCACTATGACAAAAACCTCTCCTCCCGAAAAAAAGACAAACTGCAAAGAGTTTATTAGAATAATCCAGGCATGACTGAGAGTTGGAATAGGAGGAGGGATATTTGTGAGTGACCTTTAAAGAATGAAAGGGCAAAATTTGATAACTGACTGGATGTAGAAGGAATTTTTGCCTGCCCACTATGTCCTGTGTGTAGTGTGGGTTATTTGATTTTCACAACTCTGTGACATAGATATTGTTAATCTCATTCTGCAGATGAGGATTTAGGCTCAGAGAGTAGACAGTTAATCCAGGTGCACACAATAAGTAATGGCAATCCTGGGATTAAATTTAAGTCTGTCTGATCCAGAGCCTCACTGCATCCCATTAGTCTGACACAAAGGAGATGAGTCTCAGGTATTCTAATCTTTCTAGCTGGGAGGGTCTATATTCATTTCATTGAAGGGAGAAGAAGTTGTAAGGCAGAGCCCAAATTCAAGGTTATAGTGAGCATTCATTTAAAAATAAATACCTAGTAAATGCTGAAATTATATAACCAGAGTTTTGGTGAGAAAAAAGAATTTAGGAGAAAGATACAGTTATTAGCACAGAGATAATGTCAGATGCTGAAGGAATAAGTGAGGGAGAGTCTATACACGCCTTGGAGAATGACCATGTTTAGAAAGATAGGCCAGTGTGCAAAAGAAAAAGAAGAATCAGATAAACAGTGAAAGGATGGGGATAGTACAGTATTATAGAAGGAAAAGAGGAGTTTCAAGGAAAATATACTCGAACAACAGCATTATCAGACAGAGGATAATGGAAAATATTACCAGTGACCCCTGAGACGTGTATTTGAAATATAACTTTTAAGAATAAAGGACCAGCAGTTGACATAATGACTATGTCGTTGGACTCCCATGTATTCGACCGCAGTTTGAGTCCCAGACCTGGTGGCTTAAACTCATACTGGGCGCTTGTGCATGCATGTCCAAGATCCCGAGAGGAGAATGGAGGAGAAGGGATTATGGTGTGGCCATCCCCCCTGGGGGAGGGGGGATGATTTCTTGCTTTCTGTCTCTCTGTCTCTCTTTGTCTTTCTGCCAAGTGCACATGCCCTATAGCAAAAAACTCAAAAAAAAAAAAAATCTAAAATGACAAGTACCAACATAAAAAGGAGGAATGAGCATTAAATATACGGTGATTCATGGAATTAAAACTAAATGAGGGCTAAGAGGAAAAGAATATTGTTTTGAAGATATAAGGACTATGTAATCTCTATGTAAAGAGGGCCAGCAGGTGGCATGGTGGTTAGGGGCATTGGACTCCCACATGACTGGCTGTGGTTCAAGACCTGAGCCTAGTGCCTTGCTTTCTCGCTTTCTCTCTCTCTCTGTCTCTCTCTGGTCAAATTTTAAAATAAAATAATAATAATATAAAATATTTTTTTAAAAAATCTGACAGGTTACAGCCATTTGAAAAATTGGAGGGTGAAAGGCCAGCAGGTGACATGCTGGTTAAGGTGCTTGACTTCTACATGGCTGACTGTGGTCCTGAGTCCTGGACCTGGTGGCTTGCTTTCTAACTTTCCCTTTCTCTCTGGTCAAATTAAAAAATAATAAATAATAATAATAATAATAAAATGAAATAAACAATTCTTTTTTAAAAAGCAGAGGAGAGTGAACTGGAAGAGCATATTCAAAAATTTTTTTGTTTTTTGTTTTTGCTGATGAGTGTGCTTTCCAGAGAGAGAGAAAATGAGAAAGGGCTCCCTAGGGGGGGTTCGTTACACCACATTCACTTTTCCATTTCTCCTTTCGGGATTTGGCCATGCATAAACACACATCTGGCATGTCTTTCAAGCCTACAAATCCAGGACTTGAACCATGTAGCTAACCATGTGGATTCCAGGTGCCTTACCCAGCAAGCTTCTGGCTAGCTCTGCAAAAAAAAAAAAAAAGAAAAAAAAAATGAAAAGAAAGGTTTTTAGTAATTATATTGTTGGTAGAATTAGGAAAGTTTTTCTGAGACTCTTGTATCTGTGATCAGGGAAAAACAAATGAGTATGGGATAGCTTAATTCTTTTTTTTTAAAGAAATGTTTTGCCTTAGGGCACTTACACTTGCTGGAGAGAAAGACAGTGAGAGGGATAGTGATAAATCACCCTCTAGGAGGGGTGACCATACCACAGTCCCTTCTCCTTCATTCTCTTCTTGGATTCTCGGACATACAGGCACACACAGCACACGTGCACACACGGCCAGCACGAATTTCAGGCCGAGTCCAGAACTCAAACTGTGGTTGGCCTTGTGGGAACCTAGCAACAAAATGACTTCGCTGGCCCATCTGCTGGCCCCTGTAAATGTTTTTTTTTAACTAAATGGGAAAGAAATTATAAAATTAGACTATCACTGGTGCAACATTAATGCAGTGCTCCATAGTGCCCAGGCCATAGCAAAAGCCCCAGATTTGTGTCCGAAGATCTCCCTGTGCACATGTCCATGATCCTGGCTGCCTGCACCTGGGGGTGGATGGTGGTAGGAAGACCCTATTGGGGTGCCTGTTCCCTTCCTCCTCCTCCTTTCTCTGTCTCTCTTTCTCATGGAAGAATTTTTTTTAGATGAATGTTAGGAGAGTGCTTTTGAAAAAAAAAACAAAAAGGATAAACATCAAAGGCTGTCAAGACCACAAAAGAGACATCCAGACATCACATCATATCCCCCTATAATCCTGCCAAGGACCACGAGCTACTGTCTGACCCAGTCTCTGGATCCAGCTGCCAAATCACAGCCAGTACAGAGGGCAGCAGAGCAGGTTGAATTGCACCAGAAGTATGCAGTCAGCAAAACCGAAATGTGGGGAATCCCACCAGCCATCAGTCCAAGTTCCTCAGCAGATAATTTATCAGAATGAATGAAATAGATGATTAACATGTGAAACAAGCCGTGTAAAAGACACATCAAAAAATTTTTAATGAAAAAGAGAAAGCCGTAATGCCTAAGGCTGGATATTTAGGTAATAAAATTATAATAAAGAAAGGATAATAAAGTGAGGATAATGATCACTCACAGGGAAGAGAGAGGATTATGACTGGAAAGGGCATATGGGAGGGCTTAGGAGGTAAGTGGTAAAGTTATTTTTCGTGACCTAGGTAGTGGT